ACAGAACAGAGATCCTGCACCTCAATCCCATGGCAATAACCAGAGACCTCTGATGGTAGGATCTAATGAAACCCTGGTCACTGGGGGGAGCCTCTTCCCACCTCTCCTGACCTCCACATCAGCACCACTTTAAAAAGGGAAAAGGAGGGGTTATGGGGCTGGATGTCTCTCGGACAGTGGGGAGGGGTGGGGCAGGAGGGACTAGGTCCGGAGGCCCCTTGCTGGAGGCTCCATGGCCCTGCATCACCCTGCCCCAGAAAAGAGCAGCGAGAAGTCCTCCGGGCAGCCTAGAGTGACTGCAGAGGCGTGGCCAATCAGAAGGGGTGATGGAGCGACCAATCCGGGGCCAGAAGGGCCCTATATAAGACAAGCAGCAAGGTCAGTGCGGGCAGGCGGATGCCAGGGGGACTGTGCGCAGAGCCTGGCCAGGCCAGCGAGGGTACTGAGATGGGCCCCACAGGTCTGGTTGAAGTGGCTAGGTGGGAGTGCAGCTTCTGGCATGGGGCAAACTCAGCCTGGCATTAATGGGTTCACCTTCTTTCTTCCCTGACTGCCTCTCGTAGGCTTTCCCCTGCTCACGATTCTGGGAAAACTTCCCTTTATATCTTCCTGCCAATCTCCCATGTGGTTCTTCTGGCTTGGCTTTTCGCGGCTGCGGCGTCCCCCCTCGTTCTTGCTCATCCTCCCGTCTCGGCTGCTGGGATGCGGGGAGGAGGGTTGCTCCCTGTGCCGAGGAGAAAGGAAACCTTGGCAAGTTGGGAAGAAACCAGATTAAATGGTTGGATGGGAGAAAAAACAACAGGACTTGAACCCACCAAACTGTGCCCCAGAGGGGAAGAGAGGAGGGGACCAATTCTGCTTCCACCTCCCATCTGAAAACTCAGGGGGAAAGGAGGTCAGAGAGGGAGCTGCTGCCAGGTGTCAGTGAGGATGGATGGGAAGCCATGAGCCATATGGATAGCACCTCTGAGGGGGACAACCCTGAACTCCGAGAGCTCCCAGGGTCCCGGCTGTTTCCTGCAGGCCCTGAGATTTTTTGGAGGGGTTTAACTAATTTCTTACCTGCCCATGCCCTTCTCAGCATCTCCCTTTCCTCATAGCCCTGGAGATGCTTCGGGTGACCCCTAGCCCTTGTGAGTGCAAAGGGGGGTAAATAACACTCCCTCATTCATTTTCTCCACATGACTCATGGTTTTATAGATCTCGATCATATGCCCCCCTCAGTTGTCTCCCTTCTGAGGTGACCATTTCCGGTTCTTTTAATCTCCCCTCGCGCAGGCGTTTCCGTACCCCTAATCACATTTGTTGCCCTTCGCTGTTCTTTTTCCAGTTCCGATGCATCTTTGTGGAGGTGGGCCAGGCTGTATTCAAGCTCATTTCTAAGCAGGGAAATCCTGGGGACAGCTCCTCTGGTGCTCCATATTTAATTATCTGCATCTCATCGTCCAAGGGACACCTAAACCACCTCTCTGTCCCAGAATGTAGCGACTCCAACCAGAGGGGGAACTTCCCTGGGTCACCATCTTACTGACAGAAGGGACCAGTGAAAATGAGACAATCCAAGGGAAGCCAGGGGTCAGGGAGCGTGAGCAAGTGGGATTCAGCCTAGTAATGCATGGTAAGGGGGTCAGCAGTATCTCAGGGGGATTAGATGGCAGGAAAGCACCTTGTGGGAAATCAGAGAATCTAATGAGTCAGGTGCAGTGGGAGGGAGTGTCAAAATCCCCCAGCCCTAGGGACAAGGCAAGGGAATTAGCCCCGATAATTCAGGAGCAACAGAATCTACGAGTGCTCGATGCCCAGAGGTCACCCAAATGGGACAGGGAGGAGGGCGAGGCCGCTCGTTGCGGTTCGTCCGGGGCAAGGCACTCATCCTGGGGGCGAGAGTTAACAGTGGAACAGGGGTGTCCTGCCTTTCAGGGGAGCGCCTGTGCGCTGGGCTAAAGAGGGATTCTCCTGCTGTCTGTGGCCCAATTAATACTGAATTTATTCCATTCGTTAATTCAAGTGGCATGACGCCAACAAGGAAGATTGAGAGCCCCTCACACCTGGAGTCAAGCAGGGAAGCCATTAGGCTCCTGGAGAGGGGTTCCGTCTACGGATCACACGCAAGGGGCGGGGAGGGATAGCTCAGTGGTTTGCGCATTGGCCTGCTAAACCCAGGGTTGTAAGTTCAATCCTTGAGGGGGCCATTTAGGGATCTGGGCTGAAAATTGGGGATTGGTCCTGCTTTGAGCAGGGGGTTGGACTAGATGACCTCATGAGGTCCCTTCCAACCCTGATCTTCTATGAGTCTATGACCGGTGATGGGGAAATTCAGGGGTAAGGGGAAATCCCTGGCCCCTTCCATGCCCTGTTGCTGGCAGAGAAGGGCCACCCCGTCTCCACCCCAGAAGCAGCTGTGTCTCAGGACTCCCCCAAACAGCCCCCACTAACCCCCTGCCCATTTGGGGGAATGATTCAGGACAATTCCCCACAATCGCTGCATATCAAATGGGTGGGGGAATCCCCCCACATCAGAGATGATTTGAAATTGACATTTTGAGAACTGGGGAGAGAAATGGGGCAAACTCAGAGAAGGGGAAGCGAGAAAAGGTAGATAGTTTGAGAGAAAAGGGGGGAAGCTACATGGATTTTATACACATTTTAGTTAGGGGGGATAGGGGCAAAACTGGGGGAGAATTTTGTCAGTATTAGAGAGAGAGAAGAGGCAAAATCTGAAGGGACTTTATGGCCCCCTTTCTCTCCCTGCTCCTCTCCCTGATTTCCAACAGAGACAGGGAAAGACACCGCATTTCCCCCAGTCCCTCCCCTGTTTTTCATCCCTTCACCGGGGCCTAGTGGGAGTCACACTAGCTACAGTTGAGGAACCAGGCAAGCGGACAGCTGGCCCAGCCCTCCATGCTAGTAGCTTTCTCACATATAGGGAGACGAATCAAGGTTGGAATTGAGGTCACGACTTCTTTCCCAGAGGGGCTCAATCTCTCTAAGGCCTGAGGGTTAAATGGCCATGTTCTACCAGCTACCCTCCTCAAAAGGAAAGGGGGTGTCAGCACCTATAACAAGAACTGGTAGCAAAAATATGTAACAGAAAACCTGCATGATGCATCCCTCACGATGCTTAAAAATAAATGGAGACATCCTCTGACAGATGTCCTGTCTTTCCTTGGCAAATAAGAGAAGGGAAGAACTCAGTGACCCTTACAGTCTAACGGGGCAAAAGGTTATCCACCTTGTCTCCTCGAGTCGTTTTCCTTTTAATAGAAATTGATTTTGAAGCTCATCAAAATAAGTTCCGCTTGAAATACAAAAAATGAAAATCTGTACTGGGCCAATATTTGGTTCTGCAGTATTTCTCACACACGTTCTCCCACCCTAACCCTTGAAGTGAGGTTTTCTATCAGAAATCCTGATGCAAAAGGGAGTATATTACATCAAATAAACTTTTCAGGATTAGCCACTGTTTTCCGCATTACTAGCAAACAAAACACAAGACAACTTCCAGTTTTCCAATATAATTAAGGTTGTCACACCTGGTTAACACAGGTAGCCTGATTCCAGGATAAGGAACTTCTCTTCTGGTCAGATCAATTGGTGACCCTATAACAATAATACACAACTCTCTATAATCAGGTAACATATTCAAAGATCACAAAAACTTGCCCTAGGTCTTAGTTTTCCTTTAATTAGGACAGTCACTAAGTGAACCTTTGAGTCAAGTTGTGGTCCCACTCATGGGAGTTCGCAGATCTCCAGATCTTCTGCGGTGGGTGTTGGTGCCAAGGGGTCTCCTCTGGGGGAACGTTTGCATCATGAGAAAAAACACCTTCCTTGTATTTTCACACTTTTTAATCTTTCAAAGTAGGAGGGCGTAGAGGAGAAAGGTTGCAAACGCACACAACACAAGAGCAAAACCAAAATCTGGTCTACGCTGCAGTCCTATACTGGTATAACTGCATTGCTTCGGGGTGTGAAAAATCCACACCCCTGAACGATTTAGTTATACTGACCTAACGCCCCATATAGACCACACCGTGTTGGCAGGAAAGCGTCTCTTGCTGACATAGCTCCCACCTCCTGGGGAGGTGGATTAACTGAGCGGATGTGAGAGCTCTCAGAGCTTCTTCCTTACAGCACTGCAGATGCAGCATTGTAAGAGACAAAAACAGAGAATCAGGACCCAACATGTGTGTATCCTGCAGTCTGAAATTGGAGCCTGACACATGCATTCCCTCACTGGTTACCGTTATTTCCACTGCGTGAAAGTCCTCGTTACCCACTCAGGCAGCCAGTTTGGGATCCACGGGGAAGGAATGTCCTCTAAAGAACTCTCTCTCTTTCTCTGCCTCATTCAACTTTGGAGCCAAACAGTGAAGGATGATTGTGCTCCATCTAACCATGGGATCCTTTGGGACTGTAACCAGTGACACTGAACTAGGGAGTGGTGTTCTACAAACGATTTTCCTTGGGCTGTTGATTATCATAGTTTCCTTTATTGGGGTGAAAACCAAGAACTGGGAGTGTACTATTTCTAACCCACTTTTTTCTAAATCATTGGCCTGGGTTATGGCACATTTACAAGTTATGGGTTATGGCACATTGCCAAGAAGGCCAATGGCATTTTGGGATGTATAAGTAGGGGCATAGCGAGCAGATCGAGGGACGTGATCGTTCCCCTCTATTCGACATTGGTAAGGCCTCATCTAGAGTACTGTGTCCAGTTTTGGGCCCCACACTTCAAGAAGGATGTGGATAAATTGGAGAGAGTCCAGCGAAGGGCAACAAAAATGATTAGGGGTCTGGAACACATGAGTTATGAGGAGAGGCTGAGGGAGCTGGGATTGTTTAGCCTGCAGAAGAGAAGAATGAGGGGGGATTTGATAGCTGCTTTCAACTACCTGAAAGGGGGTTCCAAAGAGGATGGCTCTAGACTGTTCTCAATGGTAGCAGATGACAGAACGAGGACTAATGGTCTCAAGTTGCAGTGGGGGAGGTTTAGATTGGATATTAGGAAAAACTTTTTCACTAAGAGGGTGGTGAAACACTGGAATGCGTTACCTAGGGAGGTGGTAGAATCTCCTTCCTTAGAGGTTTTTAAGGTCAGGCTTGACAAAGCCCTGGCTGGGATGATTTAACTGGGAATTGGTCCTGCTTCGAGCAGGGGGTTGGACTAGATGACCTTCTGGGGTCCCTTCCAACCCTTATATATTCTAAGTCTCTGAAGTAGAATCTACCAAACCACGCAAAAAAATCAACAATGTTAGTGCGGAACGGCTTCCCCAAACATGCCCCAATATTCTTTAATTAGGTGGCACCGTCTAGACTAGGAACTAGATACAGGCCTGGATCAGAATCTCTGTAAGTTACCAGAAGTGACATTTCTATTCAAAAACGGCTATTTTTCTGCAGCGATTCCATTTTTAACACTTGTTTCATTTTATACACATTTGTGGCTCCTACAAAGGATAAATTCAGCAAAACCCCCCATTTCTATTTCTTCCACACACTGTATTGTGAAGGACAGCATTTCCCATATCATAGGAAAGATCTTCTGTAGAGCCTGGGTTACAAATGCTCTGGGTACCGAATACATGGGCATTTTGCCTGGTTCCAAGTCACTTAGTGTGGAATTCTCTCCCCAGATCATCTGAGACAATATTGACTTAAACAATGGAACTACACTGTGATCAGATGCACTTCCTTCTGTTCAGTCTGCTGCTGTTCACCATTTCCGAGTGGAGAGTTCAAATCACGGCTGTTTCTTTGTTAGCACGTCCAGTAAATGGGAGAGTTCTCTCCTGTTGACAGAACTGCATTTGAACTTTCTCCACGTCATCAGGGAGAGGTGGGGAAAAAGCAACGCTGAAGTGAGAAGTAATGACTTTAGCAAATCGTCATTTGTCTCAAAGTCTCCGGTAAATTTGAGCTACATCCTGTCAAACTAAACTAATATCCCATTGGGCGACTAAACATTCTTCAGGAGAGATAGAAACCCATGTCACAGAGAGATAGACTACATGACAACGAAAGTGTCAAGGGAAAATCCAGAGCAGGTTACACCTAATAACTCAGAATCAAGACAAGATTCTCCCATGACATTCTCCTCTGATCCATTCAAACCTGCTTCACTCAGCACTGTCTCGTTTTTGAGTGACGTTATATACAAAAGTTTTAGCATCCTCACAATGGGGGTGGGGGAAGGGGAGGAACAGCCCCCTTGCCAGAAGTGGCTTTGCCAATAGATGGAAACTGGAATTTAAACCCCAAATGTCCCACTGTCTTTGGGAACCATTTGAAGTCCCCTTCCAGGTCTTTGACACTTTCATCTCCAGCCATAGCGATTTAGGATTAAAGAAGTCAAAGCGTCATCTCCAAGCGCAGACAGCTGGGAACACTGCATCAGACGGCACTTTGAGAAGTGGAGAGCTAGAATATGAAGAAGATAAACTCTGCATGGCTCAAACAGGAGGTAGCCGTTCTGGAGTGATGGCGAAGGAGGGAATCTCCCCATCCCCTTCCAGTGTCACAGAGGCTGAAATGACACTTCCCCCCCGCAGCTCCTGCTTTTCACAATATTTAAATATATTTTAAATGAAAATAAAAACTGTCCAAAAATAACTGCTCCTCAGTACAATCCAGAGCAACCTGTATCATTGGAGACTCTAACAGGACCTTTGCTATACGTGGAACTGTCTAAATGTGATGCTCCCTGGTTCCTGGGAGGAGGGACGCACTCCCATTACTCGTGGGACAATGGAGCGGAGAGCAAGGTTCACCTCAACCCAGGATGAACGGCAAAAGGTCAAAATGGGCAACTCGTCTGGACAAGCTGCGGGACAACACTGATGCCAACGGTTCAAACAGCCTTACAGGTTACTACGTGGGAATTAGCAAAAGAAAAAAAATGGCTAGATAGCCCTAGAGGTTTTTATGATGTTTCTCTCCCTTGCAGATTCTCTGATGAGAGATAAAGGCTGAGCGCCGAGGGAAGGTTTTCCCGCACTCGCCGCATTCATAGGGTTTGTCCCCTGCGTGGATTCTCCGATGCTTAAGAAGGGTTGAGCTCTCAGTGAAGCTTTTCCCGCACTCACACTGATAGAGCCTTTCTGCCGTGTGGATTCTCTGGTGCGTTATAAGGTTTGAGCTGTGAGTGAATCTTTTCCCGCACTCACCGCATTCGTAGGGTTTCTCCCCTGTGTGGATCCTCTGATGCGTAATGAGGTTTGAGCTCCGAGTGAAGGTTTTCCCGCACTCAAAGCATACGTAGGGTCTCTCTCCCGTGTGGATTCTCTGATGATTGAGAAAGGCGGAGCGGTCAGTGAAGTTTGTCCCGCACTCACAGCATTCGTAGGGTCGCTCTCCCTTGTGCATTCTCTGATGTGTAGTAAGTTCTGAGCTCTGAGCGAAGCTTTTCCCGCACTCACAACACTGGTAGGGCCTCTCCCCGGTGTGGATTCGCTGATGCTGAATAAGGTTTGAGCTGGCAGTGAAGGTTTTCCCGCACTCGCAGCATTCATAGGGTTTCTCCCCTGTGTGGATTCTCTGATGCGTAATCAGGTGTGACCGTCGAATGAAGCTTTTCCCGCACTCACAGCATACATAGGGCCTCTCCCCTGTGTGAATTCTCTGGTGTGTAGTAAGATCTGAGCTCTGAGTGAAACTTTTCCCACACTCACTGCATTCATAGGGCCTCTCCCCGGTGTGAATCCTCTGATGCTGAATAAGGTTTGAGCTGGCAGTGAAGGCTTTCCCGCACTCACCGCACTCATAGGGCCTCTCCCCGGTGTGGATTCTCTTATGCGTAATCAGGTGTGACCGTCGAATGAAACTTTTCCTACACTCACGGCATTCATAGGGTCTTTCTCCCGTATGGATTCTCTGATGTGTAGTAAGGTCTGAGCTCTGAGTGAAGTTTTTCCCACACTCACTGCACTCATAAAGTTTCTCACCTGTGTGGATTCTGTGATGTGCCATAAGGTTTGAGTTCGGATTGAAGGCTTTCCCACCCTCACGGTATTCATAGCGTTTCGCACCCGTGTGGATTCTCTGATGCGTAATAAGGTGCGAGTGCCAAATGAAGGTTTTCCCGCACTCACAGCATTCAAAAGGTCTCTCTGCTCTGTGTGTTCTCTGATGTTTAGTAAGGGATGAGCAGTCCCGAAAGTTTTTCCCACACTCAGTGCATGTATTTTTTTTCGTTCCCCTGAGGATTTTTTGCTGGGCTGTGGTTTCTTTAAGGTCCTTGTGTGTTCCCTGACAGTAAATAAATGTACTCAATTTCTCATCTGGCTGGTTTCCCTGCTCTCTCTCTGGTCTGTGCTGAATCTCACAGGCTGTTCCCTGCTCACGACTCCTGGACACATTCCCTTTCGATCTTTGCGATAATGCTCCCTGTGATTCCACTTGCTCAGCATCTTCCTGCTGAGAATTCTGCTCCTCATTCTCACTCACCATCCCAGCACCTGCTGGGACAGAGAGAGAAACCTCAAACAGGGATGGGAAGGGGAAGACCAAACCAAAATAAGTGCTGGAGAGAGGTCAAATAAAAACCAGGAACTGAATTCCCCCAAAGGGAATCAATTCAGCCTTCACATCCCATC